CCTTTGTTCCTCGATGGAAGGGTCGCTTTGCGGCGCTGGTCCATCTGATGAACGCTGACCACATCCAGCGCCACTTTGGCGGTGTCTGCCTGCGCTCGTCGTAGGTAGGCACCGCCTCGGGGGTCCCTCTGTGGGGATCCCTGTGTGCACCTGTCACTCCCTAGGTGGTTCTCGTTGTGTCTGTTGATGGCTTGACTTGTATTTTTGTCTGATTTTGCTTTGATTTCTGCTGTATCTGTGTGGTATTTTTGCTGAATTTTTGTAAGGTCCTTTGTATGATGTCTTTGTCTTCTGTGGTCGGTTGTTTTCTCAATCCGACGTTGTGTCTCGTTGGATGTGAGCGTGCCGTGGTGTTCTTTGTGTTTGTGCTGTGATGCTTGTACTTGTGATGTATGCCTGTCTTTTTTTGGGTGACTAGTGTTTGGAATGGCCGTATCTCTGGTTATACTTGGTCGTTTTGTACGATTTTTGTTTCTATGTGCGTGGTTCTTCGCGCTTGTACTCCTCGGCATGATAGAAGCCGATAAATGTAACTTGTTCTCTTGTGTTGTTTTGCGTGCCGTTGTGATTTTGATGTCGGGGTTGCACAGCTTTGCTTTCAGCTCTGAGGTTCAAACACCTAATTTATTTAAGGCCATCCTCAACTGCAACGATTGCAACCTCTTCAAAGCTAAGCGCCTTGCTCTGGCTGGCTTCGATCGCGACCGCACGCCCCGCATGCCTGGTGAACTGGTCGCTTCTGACATGTTTGGCCCGCTTCGCTCCCCTAGTATCAAAGGAGCGAGGTACATCATTGCCTATCGGGATGTGGCGACGGGCTTTCTCTGGCTCGACCCTGTCTGTCGCAAGGACGATCTGGCTGAGAGCTTTGCTCGCCTGATTCGCGACTCGCCCATCCCCATTCGCATTGATGAAGCCGACATGCAGAAGCGCACCATCATCCAGAGCGACAATGACGGGCCCTACCACTCCTTGGCCTTTCGCGAACAGCTGCGCCACTTCAACTGTGTTTGGCGCCACTCGCCGCCTTACACTCCCGAAATGAACGGCGCCATCGAAACCGTCTTCCGCG